TCTTCCCCCACCCTTCCCAATCCCTTCTCCCTTGTCCATCCCCCTCTCCCTCTTGTTCCAGAAAGAGTAGGAGTTTTTTTCTATCTGTCCTTTCGTTTCAGCATATTTTCGAATGATTAGAGACGCATTAGGCTTTGGACGGTCGTTAGTTCAGTTTAAACACAATGTAATGTTCGGATTAAGTGTCCCATTTATAAACCCCGTGTCGAAAGGCCGTTGAAAATTTCCCTGGAGGAATAATGATCCAATTACTTGTCCCGGAGTCGATTGATAGAAAAACGGGAAAACGACGGAAAATAAAAACCCACCTGCTATTTTTTTCCTCCAACTTTTACTCCCAGCAAATTGATTAGTCTTTACTTCATTCGTTTTTTAACGGCATGCTGACTCTTTTGGGCGTCGCTCGGACATGCGCAGGTTTCATCGAAACTTTATTTTTTACTAAGCTTTGGGTACCCTGCGCAATATCACTGGAAAATTAACGTCGATCTAACCGCTACCTAATTTTCGAATCCCTCTTTTTTCCTTCAAGACTTCGTAAATCTACTGAGCAAGTACTTTTTGTTGAAAACTTTTCTATCATAATCATCTCACGGTGTTGAAAAAACTGTTCTCGCTGTACTCGTTGAGAAAATGAGTTCATTAAAAATTATTAAACTTTTTTCCCTATATGAGCACCAATATTTTTTGTCTCAAGTAACCGTACTTTTTGTCACAAAAACTGAGCTTCGGTTCATTTGATCGAAAAATTCGGTTTTTTTAATGGAACACTAAAAAAAGGCAGGATGATTTCGCCTCAGCTAAGCCCAATCCTCGTCGCACACAAACTTACCGGTATTGTGCCGCAAGCTTATTAGTTGCACTTTAATTTATTCCAGTAGCACACAAAGTGAGAGTATACAACTCTGATAAGTTTACTGTACAGCAGGCGCCAGTGAGTTAATATACTACACCAATTCGGCTCAACTGAGTCGAAATCATCGAACCTTTTTTCCACTGAAAAAGTTAGACATTCGATGTGAACCAAAGTTAGGCTGTATTGATTACGAAACTTGTTTCTTAGTGCGACGTTTTTTAGCTGTAATCATAGAGGAGCAGAATACTGCCGTGCAGGAAGAACACCGTATGAAAATTTGAGAGTTGCCAAATTTTCTTGGGTAAAACATGCACTTTCGACAACATTCATGCACATTTTCCCTCGAAATTTTGAGATATTTTAGATGAAATTACGTTCAAAATTGTGTGAAAATTTCGGAAACAAATATTCACAATTTTCCCAGTAAATTATGTTTTTATCGAAGGAAAGTTGGCGATGTCTGAAGGCTCATACGGCGTTTTTCCTCGTTACGGCAGAAAAATTCCAAGACTTATCTTTTTATGACGTCATAACTTATTACCCTTTATTTTTTGTCCTACAGTATGTTCGTTTGGCGTACGACACTCGGCCTGAGCTCATTCTTCAGCTTTTCACTCGAGAATGGTCTCTGGAACTACCGAAGCTCTTGATCACGGTTCAAGGAGGCAAAGCTAATTTCGAGCTTCAGCCCAAACTCAAGAAGATTCTGAGGAAGGGACTCTTGAAAGCAGCCAAAACAACAGGAGCCTGGATTTTCACAGGAGGAACAAATACGGGTGGGTCTTCAATTCATCAATTCAGAGGATTTTCTCTCATCGCAGTTCACTTAAATTGACTTCATTTTGCGATTTGGAACTACAATTTCTGGCTCATCCGTAGAAACACTTAAGTGCATTGGGAAACTAATGGTGTATACGTTGTTTCTTAACGGAGCCAGAAATTATAGCTCCGGGATGCAAAAGATAGTCCAAAGGGACCACTAATAAGGGAGCGCTCTTAAATACTGTAATACTCATAATCTACTGGAGCACGTCAGATTGCCCTCTTAACGTTACCGCGACAGTCTTTGCAGAATGTAAGTATAACAACCTCAATATCGGTGCTGCGGCTCAGCTTTTGTACGTTTTTAAAACTTTAAACAACATAGGGCGGGGATAAAATAAGTGGTTCACCAAAAACGTTGTAGTGCAAGATCCAATTCAAGTAGACTCCCGTTTTTCATGTGAGCGGGAAACTCAAATTTTTCGCGACGAATTATGCTGAATGAAAACCTCAAAATATTGGTTGTGAGTTAATTTAAGTAATTTAGTTGCACAAATCGTGTTCTGTGTGAAATTTTTAAGAAGAAACATACATCAGAATGCTTAGCACTTAGATGCCCAAGCCGGGTCAAATTGACCTGAGGCTTGCCACTAACACATACCCCGTCTGGTTGTATAGGGTTAGTACACACGATAGAAGTTTTAGATAATAGGTCTACAAATGCATTCTTAAAAAATAATCAGACACCAAACTGAAAGAAAATAAAAAAGCCAATGTCAATACAGTTGGAGATCAAGGAGTATTAAGGAGTTTCAATCAGTAAATAATTTAAGATAAAATAAAATACTAATCTTGGAAATTAGAAATAATAACATTTTTACTGATATTTTAAACCTAGAGTAGATTTCATTGAATTACAAAATCAATATTTTTAATAAACTACTAAAATTACTAAAATTCAATCAGTAAATAATTTAAGATAAAATAAAATACTAATCTTGGAAATTAGAAATAATAACATTTTTACTGATATTTTAAACCTAGAGTAGATTTCATTGAATTACAAAATCAATATTTTTAATAAACTACTAAAATTACTAAAATTATGAAAATAGAAGAAATAAGCCTGTGAGCCTCTTCTTTTAACTGTTCTCCCGAATCCGAGCGGCACCTCATTGGCAGCGTAGAGTAGAGCATTGCGAGTTCACGCCTCTTGCCATAGCGCCTTCAATTTTGCAGATGTGATACGGACATCCATCAAGCACGAATAGTTGTATCTCTGCGCCGTTATCAGCGCGCGTCCTTTCTCTCGCTTTATTTCCATGTTGTGTTGGTCTCGGTGCCGTTTGTCTTATTTGTAGTAGTATTTCAAGGGCTACGTGAGCAACGCAACGCATGCGAAGCCAGGAGAGGCGTACCTAATCATTTTTACTAGTTTTATGTTAACTTTAGTTGTTCTGGAATTATTTTCAAAATGCTTCCACGTATACTTGCATCTCTAGTTTCATGTATTGTATGTATGTATTTTTCTCTGCTACTCGGAGTTTTAAAACCATTTGCATAAATGATCGACCCCTAAGTATAATATAATCTTGATGAAAATTTTTATCAATTTTTCACGTACATTTAACTCGAATTTCATACAAGAAGACTCCTGAGATGGTTTCTTGGTTAGAATGAATTAACAGTCTTTAACCTGTTTCAAAAGCCTAAGAGAGGTGCAATTTGAGGAAGAGAGGGAAGGAATATGGCCTCTTCCTCCCTCGGGTCCTTGTTGGTCCTTTTCTGGGCAAAATTGGTCAATGTTTTTTTTTTTTTTTTTTTTTTTTTTTTTTTTTTTTTTTTTT